AAAGGATACAGAACATTCTGTCAATATCGCCATAATTTAAACCCAGAAAAGAAAAAAGATTAGAGACCATCATTCTTCATGATTCCTTCTGATAAAATCACTCTTAAGACATTAAGGAACGCTAACTACGAAATATGTCGAATACGTCACAATATGCAAAACAAAAAAAAAAAACACCCATACACACATGAGCAACGTACCGTGCCACACTTAAGTTTTAATTGCTGTCTAATTAGTTAAACTTTTAATAAAGAATTGTTTTTTAAACCTTTAAACCTGTATAATATTTAAATTTAACTTTAAACGAGTTATTTATTGAATTTTTAATCGCTTTTAACTACATTACTTTCGACCTGTTACTTCAGTTATGATTCGCCGTGATCGAAAGACGGACGGACGGACACGCGTACACTTCGCTTTATTTATATAGATTATTAGTAGGTCTTTTGACCAAATGCAAGCATGACGAGAAAGATGTTAAAAATCGGAATTTTCGACAACGCCTGTATACTTTCACAGCGAGGGGAGAAATAAAAAAATGAAGTGGTACTTTCTTTTCCGGGAATTTGTTGTCTTTCCTCATGTGTTTCAAGTATGGGCAAATAGTTAACCCCGAAACTGGGGTCAAAACACCATGAAAGTGTAAAAATAGGTTTTGATACAAGAAATACTTTAAAACTTATTACCAGCAATACTGTTTAGAAAAAAAAATATTACCAACAATTTTTTTAAAAAATAAACATTACTTGCAATACATTTTTAAAAAAAATATTACCAGCAGTACATTTTTGAAGGAAAAATATTACCAGAATTAGAAATAGAAAAATGTTACCAGCAATAAAAAATTTGTCGGCATTAAATAACCCATGGAGGTTGATATACCGTAAAACAAACCAAAAATCCATTTGAATAAAGGGTCTTTGGCAGCTGCAAAATATAAAACTGCACTGCAGAAAATATAATATAAAAAATACCTCCAATTACGTTTTTTTCTTAAATTTAAAAAATGCCTTTAACTACTCTTTTTCTTAAATTGGACTATCCAAACATATAACGGCGAAGTACTAATTTGACTACTAAATACGAGAGAGAGAGAGAGGGAGAGAGAGAGAGAGAGAGAGTAAGCAGATTTGACTAAAACGACAAATTAGTAATCTGACGTTTGTCTAATCATCCCTCTGCCGAAAAATTCCTATGTCGAGTTGGCAACGTCGAATCTGCGACGCCAAATGGGCAAGGCCGATACGGAAATACACTTGCTTTTTTAGATATCGTCTTTTTTCCGTTGTGTTTTTTTTTTTTTTAGAGATATTTGATTTTTGTGGACAACTATAACACAAGAAAAGTTTCTCTACTTGTCGCAGCTTCTTTGCTTGTTCTGTTGTTTATTTGCGTTACTGGGCCCAAGAAGGTCGCTTCCTCTCGGCTATAGCTTACTAGAAAAAACAAATAAAGAAAAAGTTGTTACTTTTAAATTTTTTTTTTTTTTTTTACAGAATTTTGACAAGAAAAAACCAAATAATATCCCCATCAGGATATTGCCTGTAGAGCAATTCCTCTATGTCAGGCAAAATAAAAATGAAAATTATCAAAAATATATAATGAATATTTGTTCCTGCCGAGAAACCAAAGTTATGATTTTACTGCAATGTTCGTTTTATTTTTTCTCTTACACATCATGATTTTTTACGGTCACCTTAAAACCGGTCTTAACGTCGGACATATCTGACAACCCCAGGTTACAAGACTGCTATGGGGTAATTATGCAAGCGAATAATTTATCGGATATTGTATCCAAAAATCTGCCGTCCTGGGTATGACAATAAACTACAACCGGCAGTAAGACCTCTAATCGAGAAGGTTTTGAGGGACATGGAACTACCTCTTAATTACTGTTTATCCCAGTTCAAACCTTGACCCGGGGTGGTAGTACCTGTTTGGATCCTAGATATAGGCAAATAGTTAACTCCCGAACTGGAGGCAAACATTATGAAAATATGAAAAAAAAAGAAGATTTCTATAGTAAAAATATTAACAATAAATCATTGAAAAAATACCAGCAATATATTTGACACTTTACAAAAATACGTCAATGAAACCTGATGTACAAACTGATTTCTTACAAAGAATATATATATATATCCTATTCGTACGAATCTATCCCAAAATTCTTGCAGTCATTAAATAACCCCATTGAGGTTGATATGCCGTAAAACAAAAGAAACGAAACAAAAAATCTGCAAAGATTTACCACTAAAAAAAGAGTTGGGGAAATAAGATAAGTTTAACAAATGATGTGTTTCGGAATTTCGGGAGAAATAAAAAACTGGTAAATTGGCATCACGATTGCTGTCGCTTCTATGTGCTCACTCTTTTCATATCGGGGTGACCATGGCTCTCCACAACTTCTTATTCTTTATAGCTCTAAGTAACGTTTTTCCCTTACTATACCTCCCAAGACTTGTTTTGTTATCCATTTACACAAGACGATTCGCACGTTACATGTGCACCACATACCTTTAATATATCATGTCAGTTTCAAATTCTTAATCCCATCTTTTCTTATTTTGCGAAGATTTTCTAAGATGTGGCACAAGGCCAAAAGTATGAGACATCCAGTGAAGATCAAACTCAATCGTAATTGCTTTAGCGAGAGAAGCTTGTTAAGCATTACACAACGTGGAGATGATTGGTTAGGTTTGTTTTGTTTTACGGCATATCAACCTCAATGGGCTATTTAATGTCGACACATTTTCATTGCTGGTAATATTTTGTTATGTTAAAAAGGTATTTCTGGTAATATTTTTCCTTCAAAAATGTATTGCTGGTAATATTTTTTATTAAAAAAAATTATTGCTAGTAATATTTATTTTTTAAAAACATTTTTAGTAATATTTTTTTTCACAAATGCATTGCTGGTAATAGTTTTTTTTTCCTCAAAAATTTCTTGCTGGTAACATTGTTTTAAAGTATTTCTGATTTTAAAACCTATTTTTACACTTTCATTGTGTTTTTACTTCAGTTTCGCGGTTAACTATTTGCCTATAGCTGGGACCCTAACTGGTGCTACCACCCCGGGTAAGGGCTGACCTGGGAAAACCAGCAATCAAGAGGTGTTTCCACGCTCCTCAAAACCTCCTGATCAGAGGCCTTGCTGCTGGACGTAGTTTATCTTTTTACCCAATACGCGGATGTAGTTTATTGTCATAGCCAGGACAAGCGTGGAGATGACTTTTCTCATTATCTGTCTCAGACATTTCAACGATGTCTTTCTGATTCTAAGTCTACGATTTTATATTTTCGTTTTCTTTAAACCTCTCTAGATACTAACTTATTCTTCCTATGGTATTCTCATCATCTTTCTGTAGGAGCAGATCTTAATACTTCAAGTTTCATCTTCATTTGTTGGGAAATTGTCCAGCATTAACTGCCACACATAACGGTTGTTATTAGGTAGTAGTTCAAAATTGTTTTCTTTGGGGTTTTTTTCCGAAATTTTCTTGTTTCTTACTTAGCTTCCGGAAGGCATCTTTCGCTATTCCAATGGACCTTTGTATTTCATTATCAAATATTCTTTTGTCTGTTAAAACATTTCCAGATTTAGTTAAATTTCTGATGTGTTTGATTCTGATGTCTTCTAATCATGGCTTGCATATTGGATTGAGAAATTGAATATATCCATTCACCTTAGTCTCAAGGCAGAAATTTTGACTAAGCTGGAGCTTAATGCAGGTTAGATATTTCGGGGCGTTCAGTAAGGATTGAACTCAGTAGCTGTGGCATGACAGCTAATGTTGCTGACCATAACACTATGCAAATCGTATTATCATTGACCTATATTTAACAAAGTCATGTTAAGTTTTAGGGATAGATGGTGGTGTAATAAGTGGTGTCGCACAATGAGAAATCGGTGAGCCGAGTTCAAATTCCAGTCGGGTTTATTACATTCGATTATGCGCTTGGAAAAGGTATTAATCCATTTCTTTTCCCACCCACTCACGTATAGGTAAATGGCTGGACAGACCGGGCTTGCTTGGAAAGCAATCTAGAGGAAAAACTCCGAATTAAAAGCGTCCTGGATAGGGTTGAACTCTGTCAAGTTATCTTGCTTTAGAGACACCATTGCTGACACGGGTACAGTAAATAACGGTAGGCTGGAGATGTTGCGTCTGAGGGAGTCAGATTGCAGAGTGGGGAATAAATCTTTCACCACAAGACGAGTCTTAAATGTAAGGATTGCGTATCTCCTATCGAAACGTGGCAGCAATACTCCATTTTTGGTCTAATCTGTCTCTTGTAAAGATGAGACATATCAAAAGGAGTCAGGTACTTACTGAAGCGATAGAATGAACCGAACATTTTTCCGGCATCTTCAACCATGTTCTTAGTTCCATGTGCATCTCTTGTAATCCGACCTGCAGACGTCTGGATATAACCTTTAGTTGATTAAACGTTCCATTTGCATTTTCTTTGCAATTAATTGATTTTGACGGCATAAGTAGGTCACAAATGTTCGCTTGTCTAACTCTGTCATCTCACACATCTGAAAATTCGACCTGGCTCTCGAATCATGCAAGTCCGAATAGAAGATCCGTGCCTATCCGTCTCGTAGGAGCGTAGCAAAGTATACGGCGGCGCGTATTTACATTCAGTCATACGTTCGCATAGGAAGTTACATTATTTCAATTACGCCTCTCGACTGTACGTACTGAATTCTCGGAAACTTCAATTATGCAATGTAAAACTCAGGTTGCACTGAGTGGGAAAATTAATAACGGTAAAAAGAAAACGAATATGATGATCTTAAAACAGAAAGCATCTCGTGACTGAATGAATTTTATCTTCTTATCATTTCGAAACGCTGGGCAATGTAGCGAACGTCACGTTGGCTTATAGTAAAGACGGACGCCGACATTAAAAAAAAAACAAAAACAAAAAACTTAATTATATGCAGTATTTTATCTACAGTATTTACATACATCAAAGCTGCTCTATTTTCTATGCACACTCCCTCTCTCTATCTGGGTGAGTTCATATCAACCACACTCTATATCTATCTATCTATCTATCTATCTATCTATCTATCTATGCATATATGCACGCGTATATATGCATATATGTCTAATAAATATGAATTAAATATTTTTAAGCTAATTCTGATAGGCAAATACTTATCTATCTATCTATCTATCTATCTATCTATCTATCTATCTGTTTTTGCATACATACACACATATAAATGCATAAATGCCTAGTAGACGGGAATTAAATATTTCTTAAGCGAATTCTGATAGGCAAATACTTATATCTATCTATCTATCTATGGTTCTTCATTATCTATCTATCTATCTATCTATCTATCTATACATACATACATATACTCATATATATGCATGTATATTTAGTAGATAGGAATTAAATATTAATTGTCTTATTCAGTCTATCTATCTATCTATCTATCTATCTATCTATCTATGGTTCTTCATTATCATTATCTATCTATCTATCTATCTATGGTTCTTCATTATCTATCTATCTATCTATCTATCTATCTATGGTTCTTCATTATCTATCTATCTATCTATCTATGGTTCTTCATTATCTATCTATCTATCTATCTATGGTTCTTCATTATCTATCTATCTATCTATGGTTCTTCATTATCTATCTATCTATCTATCTATGGTTCTTCATTATCTATCTATATATATGCATGTATATTTAGTATCTATCTATAAATCTATCTAATTGTCTTTATTCAGTTATCTATCTATCTATCTATCTATCTTTCTTCATTATCTATCTATCTATCTATCTATCTTTCTTCATTATCTATCTATCTATCTATACATACATACATACATACACTCATATATATGCATGTATATTTAGTAGATAGGAATTAAATATTAATTGTCTTATTCAGTCTGTTCAAGTCTAATTATTTACATATTTAGAAAATCAGAAAACTGTTAATTTGGTAAATGGTTTCAATGCTTGCATTATCTATGTATATATGTTGTCTGTTTCATTGTGCGCAGTTACGTAAAAGGATGAAATTCGTGAGGTTATATTTAATATATTCAACATTTTGGAAATAGATAAATTATTATACTGGCAAATCCGAATTACATATACAAACACAGACACGCAAGCACATGCACACAAACACACGCATTCATGCACGCACATATATAAAATGCACACACGCCCCATGCGCGCACACACATCTCACGAAAATGATTTTGGTACAAAAAATTCCTGATTTATTCCGACTAGCATTCACAATTTTGTTTCTTCTCCTTTGCTTTAAATTAATTCCCCTGACTCGATCTATCTTCCCAGCACTGTGAAGGAAACCAGATGATAATGAATACGATGCGCATCAAAACAATCATCTTCATGAACTAATCCATAGAATAGGGAGTGAGAACAGATATTCAACTTTGATCCAGTACCTTCTCTTATCAGAATTAGAGCGGATATGAAACAAGAAGAGTTTTGCTTTATTAAATGCACTGCAACTAGAAATGTAATATTTATGATAAGAATATTACTCTAGCGATAATTACACATGCAGAATAGATATATACCTATGTTTCATACATTACACAAAATCATATAGGTATAGTAAGGGAAAAACGTTACTTAGGGCTATAAAGAATAAGAAGTTGTGGAGAGCCATGGTCACCCCGTTATGAAAAGAGTGGGCACATAGAAGCGACAGCAATCGTGATGCCAATTTACCAGTTTTTTTTTATTTCTCCCGAAATTCCGAAACACATCATTTGTTAACACGTAAGTGAATGTAATGGATTCGACTGGAATTCGAACTCGGCTCTCCGATTCCTCAATCCAAGCAGCTTTCCATAACTCTACCGTGTCTCCCTTCAGCTATGGGTAAATAGCGGAAAAGACTGGGTTCTACAGCCTTGGATGGCAACTGGTCTAGAAGAAAAACTCTGAATTCAAAACCTGCGGAGGGTCGTTTGGGGACCCTGTTGCACGTAATGCATCAGGTCTCTGTAATCGGCCCTTCAAAAAAGTGTGGATGGTCCTGCACGAAACCTTCACCACTATAATCAAATCTCATGTGTTATACCTGCGGGTTTGGGGACCGCTTGTGAATTCCAAATTCCCATGAAACTCCAATATTCGGGTGAATGCCGTTATAGGCAGGCAGGTATATATGGTACGACTCAAAGACCTATTTGAAATGCTAGGAAAGTTTTATTTCCACAGATACACGTGACAATAGTCTACTTGATTAGATCGTTGGTGAATGAATTTGCGGACAATGGCGAGTATAATCTCAGCGCCGGGAAGGTGACTTGCAATCTGTGGAAACAGGGTACTCAATAACTGAGCAGTAGTAAAAATAAGAACTAGATGAGATATGCCTATATATAGGCAGTGGGACGAGAACAGTAGATTAAATAAAGGGTTTAGTTCGGAATTCCCTGTAGGTTACCCAGATCGATATACACACTATGAAGACCGGCTACGAATTCCCTGTAGGTTAGCCATATCGATTTACACCCGATGAAGGCCGGAAACGAATTCACTGTAGGTTACCCAGATCGATTTACATTCGATGAAGGCCGGAAATGAATTCGATGTAGGTTACCCAGAACGATATACACCCGAATTAAGGCCGGAAACGAATTCGATGTAGGTTAGCCAGATCGATATACACCCGATGGAGGTCGGGAACGAATTCGATGTAGGTTACCCAGAACGATATACACCCGAAGAAGGCCGGAAACGAATTCGATGTAGGTTAGCCAGATCGATATACACCCGATGGAGGTCGGAAACGAATTCGATGTAGGTTACCCAGAACGATATACACCAGAAGAAGGCCGGAAACGAATTCGATGTAGGTTAGCCAGATCGATATACACACGATGGAGGTCGGAAACGAATTCGATGTAGGTTACCCAGAACGATATACACCAGAAGAAGGCCGGAAACGAATTCGATGTAGGTTAGCCAGATCGATATACACCCGATGGAGGTCGGAAACGAATTCGATGTAGGTTACCCAGAACGATATACATCCGAAGAAGGCCGGAAACGAATTCGATGTAGGTTAGCCAGATCGATATACACCCGATGGAGGTCGGAAACGAATTCGATGTAGGTTACCCAGAACGATATACACCCGAAGAAGGCCGGAAACGAATTCGATGTAGGTTAGCCAGATCGATATACACCCGATGAAGGTCGGAAACGAATTCGATGTAGGTTACCCAGAACGATATACACCCGAAGAAGGCCGGAAACGAATTCGATGTAGGTTAGCCAGGTCGATATACACCCGATGGAGGTCGGAAGAAACAAAGCTTAGACGCTTAAGATTAATTCATATTTAAAATCGTTCCAAGTTATTGAAAAATTCTTTAGAACAACGAGGTGATCCCAAAGGAATTAAAAGACCTACCAGGATTTATTCTAGGCGAATCTAATCTTAACAACATATGATGCGCAGATTACACTGTTTAGAGGGCGGTCTCAGGAAGCTGAAATAACTGATAAAAAAAGATTTGGGAAGCGTTCTGACAGAGGAGTGTAAGTGCGACACTGAAATCCGTAGACATATTGGGGATCACCAAGGACAAATTCCAAAAGCGAGACAGGAAGATTTCTTTGGTAACGTAGTAAACAATACTGAGCTGTTACGTGACATTTCTCCTTCTTTACGGCAGCGAATGTTGGACGATTTCCTCAAAGATGAAGAAGAGGACTCAAGGCAACGGAGATGTGGTTCTACAGAAGGATGCTAAGGCGAGCGTCTGAGCAACGATGAGGTCCTAGATAGGATGCAAACAAAGAGGAGGCTTGTACTTAATATCAGGAAGAGGCAGCTGAAGTTCCTGGGACGCATAATGAAGAAGGAGGGCCTGGAGAATCTGATACTCACGGGTTGAATAAAAGGAAAACAACGCATGGCATACCTGGCGGCCTTAAGCAAGTGGATGACAGATCGTGGTCTGGGCGAAGTGGCAAAGGGGAAAAACTTATTGAGAGCTGCAAGATATAGACGGAGGTGGAGAGCTATGATCGCCTACGCTCTGAAAGTACATGGCACGTAGAAAGAAAGAAAGGAAAACAAGAAGAAAATGATAAGTATAAATTGTAAGAAGACAGAGAATACATGGTTTGTCAGCAAGAGACGAACCCGAAGATATGAGCTACCAAATGCAGACGACTAAATCAAATCGGAACATAAATTTAACGGTTTGTGTAGCGTAGAAACAGGTGATGGAAAATATGACATAAAATCTTAAGACATTTTGGAAAAGCAGAGGATCTCTTCCAGAGACCGACCAAGTAAAAGTGTTCTGAACTATCAATTCTTTTTTTAGTAATAAATACCGGACGATCTCCTCACAGCTAAAAAAGGAACTTGAAGGGAAAAGGCGAATGTTAAGAGTACAACAGGCTGAAAAGTTTTAAATGAAAATGGAGCTGAAAGGTCATTTATACTTAATCGAAAAGAGTAGAAATTTCCAGCACACATAACGAAAAATATGGGGTTTGGAGATTTTAACACTCACAGAACATGGTGAAAGCAGCTGAAGCTGCCGGTAACATCAAGTAACGTACCTAAAGATTTTGAGTGAATTGATGGACGACATTAATTTGAAGACACAAGGAAATTGTGGGGCCATGATCGACGACATCTGATACTCACAGGGAATTGTATATTAGATAAAACGTTTTCCGAATCTCTTACAAAATCAGTTGTTTATTGAAAGACATGCCATCATTATTTAATCATTAAAATATTTGACACAGTTTTCGATGTCTTTATGTAATCATTAAATTAAATCCCAGAAGACCACGACTTTCATCCGTTACTTACCCACATCCCTACGGTAGTAGGATGTGACACGCTGTTGATTTAATTGCCCAAAGACAAAAACTTGTCCAGTCCCCACAACCAGTGTCACTAACCCTCTTTAGTGAAGTGAGGAAAGTGTTGCTGCAGGTTTAGAGTCCCTGGGATCAGGTATTTTTCAAAGATTTACCATGAGCTGCACGAAAACACTAACACGGTAGACAGGAGGGCAACAGATGCTCCACTCTGTATTTATGTTGGGTGTCTATACACGTATACATGAGCCACGGGCAAAAATTGTCTATTCCTTGCCATCATTCTCAAACACGCACATGATATATGCCAACCCTCGATTTTAGTTCAGTGAGGAAGATGCTGCCGGAGAGTTGGAGTCACCGAGACGAAGCGTTTCATAATTTTAATAGGGAGTGAGAACAGATATTCAACTTTGATCCAGTACCGAACTGGATATTTATTATTGTTCTTTTTTCATCATTTCACCCTCAACAAGGCGATAAAGGGGGTTACTGGGAATTAAATAAAATGAGAACACTTTAGTGAAGAGAAAGGACGATAAAAGAAAGGTTCCGGGAAGGTAGAAGTTGTATTCTGACATTTCATTTAAATTTTTTGATGAAAGATTACAGGGAAGAAAGAAACCAGAAAAGTGTTCCACAAGTGAGAAGTGTGAGAAAAGAAACTATTAGAATAGAACTTACAGTAACATCTTTTTCAACAGTAAAATGATATGACCGAGTAGCCAATCGAATATTACACTTATAATTCATACTATCGAGATACCAAGTGTGAAAATTCATGAGAAAATATTGACATGGAAATATTAATAGAAAAGACACAAAGAAGCTACGTCATGGCGGTGAGAAAATGACTGAAGTCGGTATGCCATGGCTCGACCTATAACATTACAGATGCTTTTTAGATTTTGGCAAGAATCTTGATATATATATATATATATATATATATATATATATATATATATATATATACAAGTATAGGATTAGTGTAAACGGAATAAATTCCAATAACC